ACAAACCCACAAATCTCTGATGATCAAGTAAAACCTGACCATCAGTTTCCTTCATCTGGTCAAGCTTCCTCTTCATGTTTGTAGCATAGTCATGTGCGAGCCGGTGCAACTGTTTATTCTCATGCTTGAGCCCTCTAATCTCCTGTTTGAGACTCATCACTTCAGCCGCCAATGATTCAACTTGGCGGGTTCGAGCAAATAGGCGTTGGGCCATATTAGACACAGAACCTGCACACTGAACACTGAGAGCCAGCGAATCCTTAACAGCTAACTCATCAGACCGTTTGAAAAGTAGTCTGTTATCTTTGGGAGTGAGAAGGTTCCTGGCCACCACCGCAGCGGTCATATCATTCTTCATCACGGAATCCCCAACGGTAAGAGGACCAGTTGGGGAGACGAAGGATGGGCGCCATATGTTGTCTGGAGAAGGCGGGGCTGCCTCTTCAACAAGGTTCAAGTCAAAACGACGGTCGGAGGGGCCAGACATTTTCAAAGGTGTTGAAGAGAGAAGAGGTCGGACAAATCAAGATCTTAGAAGTGCAAGAATGAAGCTTCTACTGGTGGAGATTCAAGTGTGCTTTGGAACTTAATGCCAGCCCCTATAAAAATCTGCACTCGACAGAGCTTCAGAAATCGAAGAGGCGCCTGCTCAGAAATCGAAGAGGCGTTTGCTTTTCTCAAAAGTTGGGCTGCTTAGAGATCACGAGGGTTGATCTCAGAAATCGAAGAGGCGTTTGCTTTCTCAAAAGTTGGGCTGCTCAAAGACCACGAAGGCCGATCTCAGAAATCGAAGAGGCGCTCGCTTTCTCAAAATCTGGGCTCCCCAGAGACCACGAGGGCCGATCTCAGAAATCGAAGAGGCACCTACTTTTCCAGCCTTGTCAGCACCTGTCACACGCACACTCAGCTTTGCGGAAATTATGGGCATTCTGTCAAAGACTTCTGGGGAAGTAGTCCCACACGCAACAATAGCTCATGGGTACCACAGATAACTTTGCCAAAGTTCTCTGCCAAAGTTGAGCACGTGAAGCTTGCAGCTCCCACTACACCGCTCTGACCAAGAAGGGTAAAAGAATAGCAAAGAAACAGCACTAACAAAGTTTAGACCCATAAATTTTGAAGGTCTAGCTACCATATTATTACCCACAAGGGTAAAGGAACAGTACCACTGTTGGATAATTGGAAAGTCCCTGTGTGTCAACCTCTGTGCTTCGTGGCAAGGTAGACTAGCAAACATGCCCAACCTTTACTCACATTCGAGAAAACACTCCCAACAAGATTGCTTGCTCCAAAATCGAAGAGGCACCGCCCTCCGAATCTCGAGAGCCACTCTCCCAACATGATTACTTTCTCAAAAATCGAAGAGACACTGCTCCCCGAATCTCGAGAGCCAGACCCCCAGCATGATTGCTTTCTCAAAAATCGATGAGGCATCATTCTCCGAATCAATTGAAGAGGCGCTCGCTTTCTCAAAAGCTGGGCTGCTCAGAGACCACGAGGGCCGATCTCGGAAATCGAAGAGGCACCTACTTTTCTAGCCTTGTCAGCACCTGTCACACGCACACTCAGCTTTGCAGAAATTATGGGCATTTTGTCGAAGACTTCTGGTGAAGTAGAAAGCACATGAATCTTACTGTTCAATCACCCACTTCCCACACGCAACAATAACTCATGGGTACCATAGATAACTTTGCCAAAGTTCTCTGCCAAAGTTGAGCACGTAAAGCTTGCAGCTCCCACTACATCGCTCTGACCAAGAAAGGTAAAAGAATAGCAAAGAAACAGCACTAACAAAGTTTAGACACATAAATTTTGAAGGTCTAGCTACCATATTATTACCCACAAGGGTAAAGGAACAGTACGGATAATTGGAAAGTCCCTGTGTGTCAACCTCTGTGCTTCGTGGCAAGGTAGACTAGCAAACATGCCCAACCTTTACTCACATTCGAGAAAACACTCCCAACAAGATTGCTTGCTCCAAAATCGAAGAGGCACCGTCCTCCGAATCTCGAGAGCCAGACTCCCAACATGACTACTTTCTCAAAATCGAAGAGAGGGTAAAGGAACAGTACCATTGCTGGATAATTGGAAAGTCCCTGTGTGTCAACCTTTGTGCTTCGTGGCAAGGTAGACTAGCAAACATGTCCAACCTTTACTCACATTCGAGACAACACTCCCAACAAGATTGCTTGCTCCAAAATCGAAGAGGCACCGCCCTCCGAATCTTGAGAGCCAGACTCCCAACATGATTACTTCCTCAAAAATCGAAGAGACACTGCTCTCCGAATCTCGAGAGTCAGACCCCCATCATGATTGCTTTCTCAAAAATCGAAGAGGCATCGTTCTCTGAATCTCGAGAGCCAGATACCACAGACCACTTTTTTCAAAGTGCTCTGACAGAGTTAAAACATGTGAAACTGGCAGCTCCCACTACCGTGCTATGACCAAGCAGGGTAAAGGAATATCATTACTACTTGTTGTTAGGGAGACTCCTATATATGTCGACCTTCATCCCCAACGGACAGGCAGACCTGCAAAAATGCTCAACCCTTCATCATATCTGAGAGGGCACTCCCAACGAAGCCTTTCGAAATATTCAGCTTTCTTTCCCCCCGATAATACCTCTGCAAACAAGCTATACTAGAGCAAGAATATCTCATATCATCAGGGTTAAAAGCAAGAGTATCCCATATCATGCTTTTTCCCTGTCTTTTCTTTTGGCCTTGTTTTTACCTGCAAGACAAGGAGAAAGAGAGCAATCAGTCAGCACTTGGAATCAAGCTTCCAGCCAGGAAGTGACTGCCTGGAACCCCTTACCTGATTACTTACCTGGCATTGCTCTCGAGTACTCATCTTCAACATCTTATGTTTCCAGGGAAGATTCCGCATCTGCTTGAGGAACAGATAGGGCAAGTGCGAAGGATACAAGGAAGCATGTGGAGACAAGCGTAACAGCACACGTGCCGATACATCCATTACTCTGTCAAAAGCAAAAGTATCCCATATCAGCAGGGTGGAACGTACTCTAGATTTGATGGACTTGTTTTGACCCTCAAATTCTTCAGTCGGCCTTATACTCTGGAGGAAACCAGAAAACCCTCCAGCTCAGTTCAAGAATAAGCCTGTGGAAAGTTACTTCTTCAAAAGCAAAAGTATCTCATATCATCTCTTCTCATTTTTTCTTCTCTTTATCCTTCATGCTGCTGCAAGATGGGGAGAAGGTGAACAATCAGTCGGAGCTCTGATTGCTTACCTTGTCTGTCACCTCTTTCAGCAGACCCCCTAGCTCGGCGACTTGGGAGACTCCTACTACATGGTTTGTATCGCGCTTGACCAAGCCTGAAGCTACAAGTAAGCTTCAAGTGAAATTGATACATTACCTTGTGCATCTCCACCAGTTAAAGATACCACCCCTGATGGAGGAAGAGTACTTCCAGAGAAGATGCCACATCTACCTATGAGACAGATAAGGCAAGTCAAGACGACACCACACTCCGATACTTAGAAGTTTCGTGATTACGAGATCATTCTTCCACAATATTTCCTAATGTCATTTGTACTAAATCATTCACTTGTACTCACTAAAGGAGAGCTTGAACCTATGTACTTGTGTAAAACCCTTCACAATTAATGAGAACTCTTCTATTCCGTGGACGTAGCCAATCTGGGTGAACCACGTACATCTTGTGTTTGCTTTCCTATCTCTCTATCCATTTATATACTTATCCACACTAATGACCGGAGCAATCTAGCGAAGATCACAAAAAGCGACCGTTTTCGCTACCTAGGATCTATCTTGCAAGAGAACGGAGAATTAGATGGAGATCTCAACCATAGAATACGAGCTGGATGGAAAGAGTGCATCCGGCGTGTTGTGTGACCGTCGTAAGCCACTGAAGCTCAAGGGAAAATTTTATAGGACGGCAATAAGGCCAACGATGTTGTATGGCACAGAATGTTGGGTGGTGAAGCATCAACACGTACACAAAATGGGTGTAGCGGAGATGAGGATGCTTCGTGGGATGTGTGGGCACACGAGAAAGGATAAGATTGGGAATGAGGATATCCGAGGTAAAGTAGGAGTAGCTGAAATTGTAGGAAAGATGGGAGAAAATCGGCTCCGGTGATTTGGACATGTGCAAAGAAGGCCGACTGACGCTCCGGTTCGAAGATGTGACTACGGGACAGAGGTTCAGGGCCGAAGGGGTAGAGGAAGACCTAGGAAAACTTTGGAAGAGACTCTAAGAAAAGACTTAGAGTACTTGGATCTAACGGAGGACATGACACAAAACCGAGCGCAATGGCGTTCTAGGATTCATATAGCCGACCCCACTTAGTGGGAAAAGGCTTTGTTGTTGTTGTTGTTGTTGTTGTCTAAGTTGACCCCTCGTTTAAGAGGGTGGTTGAGAGGGTGCTGCGGTAGAAGATGCTACTAAGAGATTAGAAGGGTGGGGAAGGGGAGGGTGGTGGTTGGAGGTGGCGGGTTGAGCGGACTTGGCCTGGTTTGGGTGGTAAGCGTAGTTTAGGTCCATTAGTAAGAAGACTGAGTGGGGGCTCGAGTAGGCAAGTGTTAAAGAGTCGGATTTGGTTTTTCCTAAATATAGGTACACTCTAGAAAATTTACGAAGACGATCATTTACAAATTTCAAATCAACTATTGACGATACGGGTGATTCTCTAGTTAAAAGATTTGAGACTGTGTGCATTTGATTGTGGTTAGGGGTGGACTAAAATTCCTTTAACCTTTCCGGATGATTCTCTAGTTAAAAGATTTGAGACGATATGTGCATTTGACTGTGGTTAGGGGTGGACTGATATGCCTTTAACCTTTCCGGGCCAACTACAGCTAGTCCAACCCTTCGAGGTGCGGGTTACCACACGCTTCGACAAAAAAAAAAAATTCTAAACACAAAACAAAATCTAAACACAGACAAAATCTTAAGCACAAACCGTTGTACCGAATCAACAGGGAGAAGAGGTCAGAGAGCAACAAAAGTTGGTAACATTCTAATGTGCAAGTCGTATTATTCTAAAAGAATGAATTAATCAACATCTTGAACTAAGTCAAGTTATACAAAGAATTAAAGAATAAGGCTGCAGCAATTATACAAATCAATGACTAAGCGCCATTTATCTTCTATTGGTGTTAAACAAATTGCAGATAAAATGGTTAAATAATATAGCATAGACATGGCTACTCTGAAGTCCAAACACCTTGATCTTTCTGACGTACCACCTCTTGTTAAGCCGAAAATCATAAGTAGCGTCTCAATTGGACTACCATCACGCTAATATCGTCGAAAGAGCCTCGTGATGTAGATAGTTCTATCAGCTTTTTGCAAGCCACCAACGGCTGCCCGTCAGTGCCTAAGCATGAAGGACGTACGATATCCACTGCTTCTTGGTTGCTAACCTGGAACGAAGGAATAAAATCCGATTTAGTTGATGTGCAACTAATTGATCTAAATAGTATGTATGGAACTCTATTGATTTAAATGCAAAATTATGATAACGGGATTACTAAATACCTTATCCCATAATCCGTCTGAGGCCATAATTAAGAACTCGTGTTCGGGTTTGATTCTGAGCACTTTGGTCTCTGGCTCTGGAGTTACATATTGTTTAAGGTGCCTATCGCCAATTCCTCTCGATACAGCAAGAGATCCCTGAATTCTCCAAACACCATGGTATAAATCGACATATCCACCCTACAAAAAGAAATTCATTACAACCATCGATCACAATCCGAATAAGGTTTAACTTGAATCTGAAGTAACCTCAATGTATAACCTTTTGGACAAAAGAAACATAGTGCTTACCAAGTTATCAATTCTGGCTTTCTCGTCTTCCCTTGATGGCCGATGATCAGATGTGAGTGCTTCGGCAGCGCCTCCACTGCTCAAGACAGCACGGCAATCGCCAGCATTGGACACAACAAGGTTACCGTTCCTGATCAAAGCCGTCACGCAGCATGATCCACCACGGAAATCCTCCTTGAGAAAATCAGAGTCGGTATTCAGATAACCATGCTTGACTGCTTCCTCAATTTCATCACCACCCCTCCTCGCAACTTCATCTAAAATGTTCTTTGACAAGTTCTCTGCCGCAAACTCAGCAGCTTTTGCACCTCCATGCCCATCAAATATACCGAAAATCGCCTGCAGAAACAAAAGCTTCAGCATATCGAATTCCAATTCTCAAGCCGCTAATTCGACTAACTAAAATCAATAAAGTCCCGAAACCTGAAGCACGATTGTGCTCTAATAGATCAAAATATTATATATTTTCCTCAAATTCCATCATTTCAGAAAAAGTTTTTAAAATTTCCATCAATTCAGACCCTAGAGCAACTAAAACATACAACATAAATTAAAAATTAACTACATTGGTTATGGTTCATATAAAAACCCCAACTTGATTTCTCACAATTCTACATAAAGCTTTCAAATTTTCCAAAATTCTACATAAAGCATTCAAATTTCTCAAAATTCAGCTCAATAACTAAAACAAATTAATCACAATTAAAAAAAATTAAGAAAAACAAGAGAGCAACTTTAGAATTACCTGTTTGGAATCACCTTCAAGATTAAGACTAGCTGAGTAGCGATCCTCCAAAGCCTCTCTCCTCCCTCTCTTGCAACACACGTAGTAGTGTCCTTCTCTATCTGACTCCACCACCTCTCGCCTCCCCGCCGTTAACGGCGTCGGCGGAGCAGTCCCGTATCCCGAGGACACCACTGGAATACAAAGCTTCGCCGGCCTCTTCCTCTTCAGCTGCGACACTGGAGACCCCGGACCCGAGCACGACAACCCGCTCGGCGGCTTAGGGATCCGAATCCGAAACGGCGAAGACGGCGAAGATGGAGACGAACACGAAGCCAATCCCGCCGGTGATGACGCCGAAGTCAGGGTTTCTGGGGCCGGAGCGATCATGGAGGATTTGTTGCAGAACAGAGACGACGGCGGGGAAAACACCGGCGAGTTAGCCACTGCGACGGAGCACGACATATCGTTTCTCCTTTTCGGCTTTGTTTCTCCGGTTAAAAAATTGTGCCGTTTGTTCTTTTTTTCTTCTTCCTTTTACGATTTTTCTGCGTTTTGTTTTGGATGAAGAAAAAATGGGAGAGAATTTTGGAATATATAGGGCTCCTCGGAGTGGGGTCCAGTCATTTTCCGTGTTTGTGGGGCCCTCCATGGCTATATTTAAACACTGTTTTGACCAGTGATTTGGGTCACTGTTTTTGAAATGTCGGTTTTACCCCTCATTGGATTTGCTTTGACTTTTAGTCATTACTTGAGATTGGACGTCGACGAACTCCCAGTAATTTTCTTCTAAAATTTAGTGAGAAGGTTGGATTTGTTATTAATTACGTTCGATGCTTGTTAACATGTTATTTTAATTTAATTTATTTTTATTAATATTAGAATTATATTTTATTAAACAAATGAATACTACCAACTAGTTATTATGTACATTTTCTACATTATCATTTTACAGTAGCGAGGAGTACTTATTAAAATTTTAGAGCGTCGACAATAGTTTGTTACCTCCACTCTATGAGTTATACCACTAATTTTTCTATCTTGTTCTTTTGGTGACAATAGTTTATTTTTAATGTTATTAAAATGTCTAAAAGAGTTTTAAAAAAGATGTTTTTTTGTTTCAAAATGCATTTGAAATGCTTTTTGCAAGAATCACCTGTTATATGCTTCTTTCAAATTTATTTACACTTTACTAAGAATTGGCTCCAAAAACGTTTTCAGTCATTTTCAAAACACTTTCAAACGATCTCTATACGTTTTGAAAGTCAAATTAAATTAATATTATCCAAGCAGATTAAGGTTCTAGATTATTGGATATAACAACATCAAAACCTAACCAATTTGAATATATTCAAAACAATTTGTTTATAGATATTGTTATAGTTGGTTATTTTCGTCTAATTTTACAAGCATTTTACTGTTGAGTGGCGTTTAACCCTGCAGGGGCAAAACCGTCCGATCATAACCGGGTGCCCCGCTACAAATCGGATGAGGGCCCGCGTGCCGGTGTGAAAAAAATAAAAAAGTAAGAGATATTTAAGGGGTCAAACACGTTATTTAATTTCAATACGGTGTTTGACACCTTAATAACTAAGCTAAATGCTGTCATGTAGTTGTACAGCCGCCCAGTGTGGGCCCCCACACTCTCCCTCTCTCCCCTCATTGCTGGTGTTATGAGCTTCTGCGAAGTTACCGTTGTGAACGCATCCTCGTACGTACAATATTGCATCATGTTTTGGATTCTAATAATTCTTAAATTATGTTTGTTTATCGTATATTGTACAATTAATTTTCATCAGATACTATTCATATTTAATTTTATATAAAAATATTTAAAATAATTTTTAACCGCATAATGTATGATGAACGAATACGATTTGAGGATCCTAGATGCTTACAAAAAGAATCCAGAGAAAATCAGAAAGGAGCAGACTGGGATGTGAATGACAATGAGACACGATCGTTGGGAAACTGAAACGATGCCACCGCATAGTTTGAAAATCTTAATTTGTTGCATAACCCAATCGAATTGCTCCACGCAACCCAATCGAATTGCTCCACGTAACCCAATTGGAGCCAATCGAATTGCTCCACGTAACCCAATCGAATTGCTCCACGTATTGTTCTTAAAAAAATGCACTCTTTCTTGCTGGACTAAAACACTCAATTACAACTCGTTGACCTCTTTAAGACTAAGCAAACCGTTCACATTCTTCATTATAGAAGATAGATCTTTGAAATTTTTCATGTTACTTCACATTCCCGGCATGTTCTTGATTTTTTTTTTATATTCTTATCTACGCTAAAATTTTGCACGGTAGGACGGAAAAAATTTATGAAATATCAATATATTGAATTTATATAGGAATCATACTCTTATATTTGGTCAAAATATTTTGAGTATATGATACCAATACATTGAACTCATGAGTTCAATATATTAAACTTATGAGTATTGTTTATACCATATTTAGGGCCTCGTATTTAGATCTCGTACAAATACTCAGGGGACTTAAATGTAATTATGGGATAAAGGAAGGGGCAAATATGTAATAAGTGAGGAGTCCTTATTCTATAAAAGGACCCCTCACCCTCACAATTGGAGGAGGCCTCACTCTCACTCTCAGAGGCCATTTCAGAAGCCTCTCACCCCCTCTCAAAGCTTCCTCACACCCCCTAAGCTCTAAGCTCTCTCTAAGCTCTCTCTCTCCCTCTTCAACAGAGAAATATAATACAATCAGTGTGGACGTAGCCCAAACCTTGGGGTGAACCACGATAACTCTTGTGTCATTTACATTTCATGCAGATTCACGGTCGGATTTACGTTGTTCCAAGACCATCCGGTTTTGTGCATCAACATTTGGCGCCGTCTGTGGGAATCGATACAAAAACTATGTCGGTTCTCTTTCATTTTTTCATCTCACCACCACCGTGAGACCTCATCACTGTCCACCATGAATCTGCAAAATCTGCAAAAACCCAGAAACTGAAAAGATCTAAATCTCAAACAGACACAAAGTTCTCTCTCTCCTCTTTGAGCACAACCTCTCTCTCTCTGTGACCATATTTCATCCAATGAATTCCACTCTATTAGAAAACAAGCGTCTCTCAACAAGACTGATGAGACTGAAAGTTGGAGTTCAGTCCCTTGCTCTCTTCCTCAGCAGCAAGCATGCACCGCCAGAAGCAGTAGCACGACCCACGAGACTGACGAAGGCCCGTCGGATTCAGGCCCCCTTTTCACTTCAAGATCACTTCAGAAGCTACCAGGTGCATCAACCAAAGCCCTGTTTTGGTCGATTCATCGACGATGACGACGAGCCTGCCGTGGGTGACGAGAATAACTTGTCCGATCTGCACATATCTCTTGAACAATAATTTTTTCAGACAATCTGAAAAAACCGACGCAGATGAATCGGATAAGATGAGCGAGAGGTAAGAGATTCGCCACCATCTTCAATTGCTTGGATCTGGAGATTATGTACCTGGTTAAGACTCCTAAGTGCACCAATGTAAACTTGCCGCCATACCCAAGTGCTTCAGTGAGCGTCGTGGTTCTTGCGACACGTCGGCAAAACCCAAAAGCATCAGTAGTCTATGCTATCAGCTGAGCAATTAACTTTCCTTTCCCTTACCTCATTCCTTCTGGATATACAAAATAAGACTAGGATTCTCAGCTTCTCTCTCTCTCTTCCACGGCGAGAAAGATGAAAGATTTACAGCTTTTACTGAACCAAACCCAGAAGGTTCGACTGCAGAGAGCTTTCGAAAAGCTCGGGTCCTTGTCTTCAAAAGCAAATTCCAACACCTCCGTCACCGTCACGTAACCACCACTGGAGTTCGTCGTCACCAACGTCCTGGTCGTTCGACCATCGCGGAGAATGTCACGCGTGATCCACGGGATCCACCACGACACCAGCGCGGGAAAGCCAGTACGGATACACTGTCGACGATGACGCGGAGGACCAGATCGGGTGCACGGGGAGGCACGACAAGTCGTTCAGCGGCGTGGCGCTCTGCTGTTGCTCTTGCGCGCTGGTAAGCTCCACCTCTGGAGCTCCCCCGCCTCTGCGCATTGCAATCAAGAAGAAGAAGAAAACGATGGAGGGACAGCAATCATGGCGGCCAAGGCTCTCATTCAGGAGTGCCACCATAATGATGTGCTTGCTCAACCTGATCACGACGCTTCTACTGCTTCAGGACTTTCTCTCCTCCATTACTTCTCGCTCCAAACTCTTCGCATCTCGCCTCAATTCAGGGAATTAGGATTTCTAATGCGGGTCTTTGTCCCCTAAGACCCTACTCGAATTGGACCGGTACGTGTGCGAGATCTGCAACCAAAGATTCGCCGAATTAGGTCAACTTTTTGACCGAGGCCTTCGAGAAAGATCAACCCCGGTGTAGACACCGGAGACGTCATTCTGTATCAACCCCGATCTAAATATGAGTGTTTTAATCCACCAATTCCAGATGAGGCCCTCGTTTATTTTCTTCTCTTCAGTGTGGTGATGTTGGTGCAGTACCTGTACGTGGCCGACTCCCATGACACTCAGCCCATCGGACGAGCTGTCATCGACTATGTCAACGTCATTTCTGATAAGCATCCCTTTTGGAATCGAAGCCTTGGTGCTGATCACTTTATGCTTTCTTGTCATGATTGGGTAACAACAGAGAGACAGAGGGGTAGTGGGAGCAGAAAGCAAAACAAAGCAGCACAAGGAAAGAGAAAGAAAAGCAGAAAAAGGAAAAGACAGAGACAGAGATAATGGATGGGCACGACCAAAGCAAGTGGGTTTGGCAAAAGATACATTACAAATCAAGGTGGACAGAGAATGAGTGGGGAGATTAAGCAAAACAGAAAAGCAGTGGGAACAAAGCAGAAAAGAGAAAGCAAAAGATTTTCTTATTATTATTATTCCTTCTGTCTGCCAGGTGAAGATACAAAGAGAGGGCAGCAGAAAAACTGAGTAAGGAATAAACATCCCATCCACCAGAATGATGTAATTTATTATCTTTCGGAGACATATGTATAAACCCCATCCGAGGGTAATATGTATAAACCCCATCAGAGGGTAAAAAAAAAAAAAAAAAAAAAAAAAAAACAACGCCAAGCCCAAAATAAGTGGGTTGGACTGGAATGTTGTGGAGGGCGAAGGCCCATAAGCCCAAAATAACACCAACCAGGTGATCAAAAGTACGCCTAGTACTCCAAATCATACATGAGCACTACTCATGTCATTCATACATAAACATTCATGAGCATCACTCATGACAATCATACATAAACATTCATGACCATCATTCATGTCAACATTCATGAGCATCACTCATGTTAACATTCATGAGCATCACTCATAACAACATTCATGAGCATCACTCATGTCAATCAACTTCAAAAGCTTCATTTACAGAGCTCTAGCTTCAAAAGCTTCATTTATAAAAGCTCCAGCTTCGAAAGTTTCATTTACAGAGCTCTAGCTTCAAAGCTTCACTTGCCAAGCTTCACCTACAAAGCTTCAGTGCAGGGTATACAAATACCACATCCGAACAACCGCCACTTCG